CTTGGACTAAGGCAACAGGCAGGAAACTCCTGGACATCAGGACATACTAAAGCCAACCTCAGCCATCCTGTCTTAAAACCTCTTGGATCTGCAACGAGATCCGAAGCTCCGCTTACACGGTTTGCCAAGAGACCATGAAACCAGTTAGCAAAACATGGTGTTTGTTTTCATAACATACAATGGGAGCTTTGAACTGGGCTATTTCTCCATGCATTTTACACGCGGGTCGCTGGCCTGCCCACTGCCTCTATGCTAGTGGAAAGCTGTGCGCTGACTGCAGTCTGTACAGTAACAGGCGACCGCTGGAGAGCTGGTTCACCCGAGGTCCTGAACCCCAGGACCCCAGGACTCTGGGGGTGGCAGCAGCACAACCGGTGGCCAATCAGCGATAAACCAGCGTACTGGACGGCAGGACCAAGAGGGTTAAGATCAGGCACTGGTGTTTGACGGGACCGAACAGGAAGATGCCAGAGACCCTTCCAGCCGACCGAAACTCTGCCGGGTTTCAGGTCTAAACAGCTGGGAGACAAACCGAGCCAGCACACGACTGAAACGTACGTTAACGGTCAGGCCCGCCGCCTGCTTCTGAAGGGAAAGCTTCTTCAAAACACAGCCAAATGAAATGAAGTGAAATAACATATACAATGTGGTCCATGCCACAGTGTCGCGATTGGGTCCTCAATGACATTGGCCAGCAGACACGCGGGTCACGGGTACCCGCGGGATGGATACAGTTTGCAGGTGTATCTCTCCTTGGCACTAAGCAAGGCCTACTGCACCAGGTCAAGAGTGGCCGGCCCACAGTGCACAAGGTTTCATGGGGCACCTTTAAATCAGCCGTTTCTCAACGCGTAGATCTTGTCGAATGAAAACATCAACCTCCCACAACCATCCAGAACCAGAGCAGGGTCACTCCTGACCGAGCAGGCTGGGCTGATACGTTGGTGGTGGCACACTGTGACAGGGTTGGGCTTCCCCAATCTCTGAAGGCCTTTGACAACGGCAGCCCCAAATCGGCCCAACCCCCCCACAGCAACAGTGCGGAGCAGTCCAAGAGATTTCTGCTGCTCCCTCTGCTGCTGTGTGCGGCCACGCTGACCCCAGGCCAGCTCGCGACTCGACTGCGGTCAGGCAGAGAGCCGAGGACTCAGGTGCCCCATGACAATGTCACAGGAGGGCCATCTTTGCCCAGAGAACTCCTTTCACCCTTTCCTTTACCAGCCTCATCACGGACACTCCACAGTCCATGTTGGCTCCCAAGTTGAGTTAGAAAATAACATTTCAGAAGGCTTGGCGAGGACGTGGGGAGAGGCGAGTGCCACCTCCAACTCCCTCACCCCCCGGATGAATCTTCATGAAAACCACGAGCCGCTTCTCCCGGCGTCTGGTCTTGCTGAGCTCGAGTTTCCACCCCGTCGCTGAGACAGGTAAAGGAGGCTTCAGGACGCTGGGCTTCCGTTCAGCTGGCACCAAGAGGATTTTTCTCTTCCTGAAGGATGTCGGATCTTCAGAAGGGGGCTTTTTAAGACTCTCCTATATGGGCTGTCGTCCTCCAAGGCTCCGGACAGAAACATTCCTGCCCTCTTTTAGAAGGTCCGTACTAAACTATTCCCTCCACAGCACTGGCTGGTCATGGAATGTATCCTAGAGACTCCACAGCTGTCCGCCTCTCTACGATCGGGCAGTGAAGTAAGAGACAGGTCCAGTTTCCGTCTGAACACAGAGGCATATGCAGAGGGGGAGGGGGAATAAAAACAAATTCTCTCTGCGGACTCCACAGGCACAGCGGACCGAAGGCGCAGAGGTTTGGCCGAAGGAAACGGCTTCGATTTCCAGAGCTGGGCCTCCAGGGCCGCGCTGCGGTTCTGATCAATTGTCCGAGTCC